TGCTTTGAACCCTGAACTATCTTGGAACAAACGCTTGAGAGATGCCCAGCAAAGGGCTCTTAAGCAGCATTGTCTTGAGTCCCCTGATTCTGTTGAATCTAAAATTCACTTAGATTCTCTGACACTGATCACTGAATGGGCGGAAATAGGTTATGACCAGAATGCTGATAGAAACGTGGACAAACTCCATCCGGGTGAGGTGTTAGATGGGAAACAGGAAGTCTTAGAACTAGAATAAGGGTTATTTTTATTACACAGTTGCAAATAATTTGGTTGCATTGTGTTCATGCCCTTATGTCCAGGCTTCAGGAAAGGCAGAATTTGTCTGTTTTTTTTTTGAAGCAGGGTTTTATGCTGCCCTGGCTGGACTAGGGCTCACTATGTATACCGGGCTGAGCTCAGCTGTGCAGTAGCTCTCTTGCCTGTCTCCAGAGTACTGGGATTACAGATCACATCAGCACACCTGGCCTTCGAGGTGTATCTTAAGAAGGATGACTAGCATATGCGAGGGGCCAAAATATCTAAGCAGGAAAAGGCCGAGGCAGCTGCGCTGTCCCTTTAACCACTGTGACAGTTAGTGCTCATACTCAACTTGACAGGAAGTAGGAGACACCTAGACTGGCTTCACTGAGGAGGCAAGACCCAGCCAACTATGAGGGGCACCATTTCTTGGGCTGAAGTCCTGAACTGAATCAAAAGAAGAGACAGAGCTGAATGCTACACCAGTCTCTTCTCTCCCTCCCTCCCTCCCTCCCTCCCTCCCTCCCTCTCTCTCTCTCTCTCTCTCTCTGTCTCTCTCTCTGTCTCTCTCTCTCTGTCTCTCTCTCTGTCTCTCTCTCTCTCTCTCTCTCTCTTTCTCTCTCTCCTTCTGACTTCAGATGCAATGTGCCCAGCTGCATCAAGCTTCTGCTGGCTGTCAAGCCTGCCTTTCTAACGGTGACAAGTCCACCTAGAAGTGCAGGGCAACCCTTCCTCCCCTGAGCTGCTTCTTGTTGGGTGTTTAGTCACAGCAAAGAGAAAAGTAACAAATGCAACCGTTTACAGCAAGATGAGTGTGGGATGGACTGACCTAAGACATACTTAGAATGACAACTAAAAGATCAGCAGAGTATTGAAAAGGGAAAACTTGCAGCCTGTATATAAAACAAACAAGAAACAAACTAACCCCGAGATGTTCTGTTACAGTATTGACAAGGGTCCAGTTGGTAGAGAGATCAGCAGGGCTAGAAGAAAGTCAGGCGCCATGCATCAGAACCAAGGCATTTCAGAGGATTTTAAGGTTGTCCCTCCCATACCAGTGGCATTAGAGCCAGGCCACCTTGGACTCTGCTCTCTGCTTTTCAGCTGTGGTACAGGTGCGTTCATGTGCAATTCAACCATCACTGGAGAGTGCACAGGCAATAAGCCTTGGCAGTGCCCAGGTGGTGCTCGTTCTGCAGGTGTACAGAACCCAAGAGTCATGGAGGCGTGGCAGCCCCCTCTTAGATTACAAAGGATCTAGTGGGCTGCTTGTCAGACAAGGCAGACACCTGATGCAGGGCTGGAGCTACCACAGGGAACCTCCACTAGAACAATGCCTAGGAGAGCCGTGGGAACACTATCTCATACTGAGAAAGCAGCAGACAGCAGGGTGCAGCTCTGACTGAAGACAGCAACTCTATGAACTGAGCCTCACAAATCCACAGTGGTAGGGCTCGTTGTAGCCGGAGGAATTTACTTCTTTGTCCAATGTATCCAGAGGGTGGTACCTGGAATTAAAGTTTATCTTCATTTTCAGAGATGATGTCAACCTTTCTGGGTGTAGACTTGCATGGGGTCTACACCCTATTCCCTCCTCTTGGTTGCATTCTCCCTTCAGAAAAGGGGATGTCTTCTCTCTCTCTCTCTCTCTCTCTCTCTCTCTCTCTCTCTCTCTCTCCCACTATTACCTATCAGAAGTGAATCACTTATTCTCGTTCGATAGGTTTGACACTGGAAGGAAATTACATCAACTCTCAGATTAGAGTTGGGACTTTTGAGCCAATACTGGAATCATTTACGACTGAAATTATTGATACGGAATGAACACAATTTGCATGATCAAAAGGTCTTTAATATATGTTTAAATCCTAATTCCTCAGTTTAGCAATGTTGGGAGGTTAGGCCTTGTGGGGGAAGTGTATGGGGGGTGTGAGAAGATCTCTTATGAACAGACACTTGGCTTTCGCGGCTTTCTCTCGTGAGTGAGTTCTCACTTCTGTGAGAGCGGGTTGTTATGAAGTGAAGCTGCTTCCTGTGTTTTGTCTCTTGTTCTTGTTTGTGCTTGCCCTTTCACTATCAACCACGAGCCAAGGCAGCATGACGTTCATGCCACCTGCTCCAGGACTTCCCAATATCCAGAACCATAAAGCTGTAAACCGAAAAGGGTTCCCAGAAAATAGAAAAATCACACCTGTGTTAAAGAGTCTGCAAGACCAATGACTGCACATCCCAATTATGGAATGCTAGTATGTTCAGACCTTGGGTATGTTTAGTCCCTTTGAAAATTACTCATTTCTCACCCCTATGTTTGACACCTTTGTGATCAAGACCTTTAAAATGTATTCTTAGCAGGCCACCAGCTCCCACCAATCCAAAATCTTAGAATGGCTCTGGATAACATCATACACTTGTAGCAGAGTTTTCCCTGCTTTACTATAACCCACCTTCCTCTGGTACCCACCAATGTATTTGCTAAATGCCTTGGTGTATGACTTTCTTTACTCCGAAACTAATAAAATCTAATATAGCTTTCCATACTGGAGCATATCTTTCAGGACACCTGGAGCATGTGTTCCTGGACCATGGTTACTTGGATTTGGTTCAAGAGTAGTTATTTATTAGCTTTGCGGTGAAAATTTTGCTTCTGTGCCAATAAACTACCAAGAACCTGTCTTCTTTTGAAACCATCATGTCTTCTGTATTCAATTATAATAACAGAAAATTGACTAGGGCACATATCTGCCTGTGATAGAAAATACGATTTAGAAAAACTTTCCAACCTGCCAAAAAAATCACTGATCATGGATGTCATGACCACATCGATTTGATATAAACTCACAATTTCTGTATTGACCTCATCGCAAACCAGGAATATTCAGTTCACTGGTCTTCAGATGACTCTGTAAGTGTCATTGCTCTGAAATTATTTTACTTTCAACATGTGTATATAAACACAAAGATATAAGTCTTATGTAACTATTTCCAATGGCAAAATATTGGAAGCAATCCAAACGTTCAGCAGTAAAAGAACGGGAAAATACATTATGGTATATTTTTTTAAAGGAAATGTTATATACTGATTGAAAAGTATGCACTTTGAGGGATAAGAGAGATGGCTCAGTGGTTCCAAGCATGTGTTGCTCTTGTACAGTCTCAGGTTCAATACCCAGCACCCACATGGTGCACATACACAATGCTGGCAAAGCACTGAAATGCATGACATAAAAATAAATAATTTTTTAAAAGGTGTTAAAAAGTACACACTTTGAGAAACATTGCAAGCAAATCCAGACCAAACCAAAAAGGAGACATGTCTTGTTTTTTCTTTTAGGGTTGAAGAAGAGCTCAAGGCTTGGATGTGTACTGAAAACTAGAAGATGTGGCAGAAACCCTTAGGAGTATACTAAATCTGTATTTCTTTTCTTCCATCGTTATAACTTTGCTTAGTTTATTTCCTGGCAGACTTAGTAGTTAAGTACAGTCAATTAGGCCTTCACTGATGGACAAAGACAACATGTCAAGGGTGAGACTTGACATTAAGACTAGACCATTGTAGTTTGTCTTGATTTTTGATCCCTTGTCACAATGAGTGGGACACTTTGTATTGAATCTAGCTGTTGTGCTAAGTTAGTACAGGCCGTGCAGATGATGCTAATTTTCTAGGGCACAGCAGCATAGCAAGAGCAATGAACTTGGACACCCATGCAGAGTAGAATCTCGATATTGACTTCAACTGTATTTATTGGGTCAATCAATGCTGGGTATTATGGTTAATGATGATCATCTACTTTACAGAATCTAGAATTGCCAAGGAGTCAGACCTCATGGGATGCCTGTAAGAGAGTTTCTGAATTAGGTTAGCTAGGTAAATGGAGGTGAGAAGGCCCACTTTAACTGAATGACACATACCTTGGCCTGAGTTTCTGGACCGAATAAAAAGGAGAAGGAGCTGAATATCAGCATTGATTTCCCTATGCTTCCTGACTGCAGACACAACATAAAAACTGCTTCAAGCTCCTGCCACCATGCCTTCCTAGCCACAAGAGACTATACCCTCAAAGTGTCAGTCCAAATGAACTCTTCCTTCTTCAAGTTGTTTTCGTTGGATATTCTGTCAGAGCAACAAGAAAAGTAACTAATATATTGGTACAGAGAAATACAAGTATTTCTTGAATCTCTGTGCTATAACAACCTAACCTTTATGATTTCTTATGATGCAGAGAGATTTCTTGGAAAGGAAAAAGTGGGCTGTGTAAAGATTTATGATTCATTGTGTATTTTCCATTGTAACATTTGGACATTTAAACCCCATTTGTAAGTGCTAGCATATATACTTTTAAGTTAATAATAAAAACAAGAGCAATGGTAACTTTTTCATCAACAAATGTCAAGTCTGAATTTCTCATACCAGAAACTTGAATGATGAATTCACTTTCTTCACCATTTAGTACACTGGCTAAGGGGAAAGTAAAACTGCTTTATCACTTTCCTTAACTCTTGATTCTGTCAACAAATTGCTCCCAAAGAGCGTATGTTTCATATGGAACCTTCCTGACTTCCTGCATTGGTTTCATTTCTCATCTCTGTGAGGAAAAGCCCATAAAGAAGGAACTTGTCATAAGTCACATTTTGGGGTGGCTTCTGTCGCCATCCAGCCACGGCATGTTTGTACGTTCCAGGGTAAGGGTGTGTGTATTTGAAACATTAGGTAGAAGGAAAAGAGATAGGAAAGAAATACAGAGACACAGGATACTGTATACTTAGTGTATACTGAATACTGCATCCGCATGCATTTATTTTCCATGCACTTTTATACCCCAATATAGAAGTGGGGGAAGAAGGCAAAAGACTGCTTTAACATAACACAAAGGACAACCAGAACAGTTTCTTGCTTCAATACCTGAGACATCGAGCCATTATTTCCTGATGAAAGCATTTGATATTTTGGGCAAGATATGCAATGGATAAACTCCGGACCAAGTATCTTGTAGGCAGCCACTCTCTCTGTCAAACCTCCTATTTTAAAATGAAGGAGCAGGAATAGGCTTGAATTCCCTACCCTTTGGTCAGGGTGGAGCGGATTCACCCCTATGAACCATCTTACTGTCCAAAGCACCAAGTAACTACACTCTAATCCAGGATTTGTCAAAGTTGTCAACAACTTTGCGAGAGCTGAAATAAGCTCAAATGCTCTGACCTCAAGTCAAGGCAGAACAGGCTCACATCTATGGGTCTCCACAGCCATTTAAGCGAAGAAGGATTTACCGTGGTACATAGTCTGAGGCAATAACAGTCTGTCTTGATTGGGGAAGACATTGCAGTGGGAGGGATCTCAGCTGGGGCATGAGGCAGCTAGTCACCCCATGTTAGTAGTCAGGGAACCTCCCAGTAGTTAGAGAACCTGAGCTGGAACTGTGTCGGACTGTGAGCCATAGTCCCCACCCACACAATTCGATGTTTATTATTTAGGCCTCATGTCCAGAAGGTTCCGCAGCTTCCTAAAACAACACCACCAGCTAAGGACCAACAGTTCGAACACATGGGTCCGTGGGGGACATTTCCCATTCAAACATAACAGTAACCCTACTGAAACAATGTCTAGTTAATTTTTTTTTATCAAAACTATTAGGGACTACAAGAAAAGCCTTTTATCAGTCTTGAAGTTAAAGTCGTGAAAACAAGGATACTTATAGACTGACTTAACTTAAGTGCTAACTTAACTTCACCTATTGAAAGCCTAACCCCACTAGTATGGTTGCTAGGAAGGGAAGCCTTCGCAAAGTTATCAGGCAGAGAGCTCACTGTAACTTTACCATGTGAAGAAGCAGTCAGCAATACAGAAGAGAATCCGAACCACAACCCAGTCATGCAGGGGCCCTCATCTCACATTGAGATCTGCACAACTGCTGGAAACCAGTCTCATTCATCTGTAAGCCAGTCAATCTGTGTTGCTTTGTACCACAAGACCACAGCCCAAAGCGACCAAGACAAAAGATGATCTCTGACTGCCCTCTATAATCTTGTTCTTTTAGATATTTGTCCCTATGCCTCACTGCTTTCTACACATGTGTCACAGTCACAAAATAGGTCCAACGGGACAAAGTTAAATCATCTTTGGCCAACTTGTTCTAATTTCTTTTTGCCCATATCCAATAATGTTTTGTCATACTATTTTGGTGAAGTCCTTAGAAATGCATATTTTAGAATATTCTATCCTGCAAGGTTAAGGTTAACTAAAGCTGTACTTAACAAGGTTAATATAAACTGGACTGAAGGAAAGATGGTGCTTTGAAGATTCTTCTTTACATTTAAAGGGATTCTCTCTCTCTCTCTCTCTCTCTCTCTCTCTCTCTCTCTCTCTCTCTCTCTCTCTCTGTCTCTCTCTCTCCCCTTCCCCCACCAGAGTGTACCTGCATGTGTTAATGTATGTGGAGATAACTTTGGCATCGTTCTCCTGGGGAATCATCTATCTTGACATTTTGAGGTGGGGTCACTCACTGAGACCTAGGGCTCCCCTGATTGTGATAGGCTGGTTGGCCATCAAGTCCTCTTTCTACTCCCTCAGCCCTGAGATTATAAGTACATTCTACCACATCTGTTTTTTTTTAAACTAGTGTTATGAGGACTCCTTATGAAGCAAGCACTTTACCAAGGGAGCTGTCTTCTCAGGCCCTATGTTACCATATTTGCATAATCTCCAGTTGTTCAAACATAAATTTCATGACATGTTTCATATTGATAAAGGACAGAGGATGCGATAAACTGACCAAAAGAAGCAAGACACTTTTAGTGGCAGTGAGAAGTGTCAAACTTGTTCTGTTTGGGGAAATTAATAAAATATACCAATAGACATTTGGATTTTTTCTTCTGATACTGAAATAAGATAGAATTAATTCCTCTTTAATAATCTTCATATGAAAGCTGCATCCCTTTTAATTTTCCAGGAGATTTTTCAAAAAAGAAAACTCAGAAATAATCAATGCAGATGATAACTTTTATATTACAATACAATTACAATTATAATTTCCTACTATAGATTTATCACACATTTGTCATGTAAAATGAAGAAATTTTAATCATTCATTTCAAGATGTACACCAAATGGGAATTAACAAACACTCCAAAAGCTTTTCATTTAAATGGATGCCTTTAAAATTGTAAAAAAAAAAAAGGGAATTTAAAAACTATCATTTTCAGTTTTTACTTTCATCAAAACCTTAAAAGTAAATATCATAGACAGCATTTGTAAAAGTTGGAGGGAATATGTGAGAGGGTTTGGAGGGAGAAAGGAGAAGGAGGAAATGTTGTAATTATAATCTCAAAAATATTTCAAAAAGTCATTGAAAAGAAGGATTAATGCAATCACAATGCAACATAACTCTATAGCCACGTCTATATCGTCAAGTTCACCAGCATCTTAATGACAAATGTTCTTAGGAATTGAAAAGTAAGTAGAATAGGCTGCCAGCTGATTGCCCATGTGGTCTAACCCTCTGACACTGATGATCTGCGACAAAGATGGCAGACCGTCCCTGCATTTCAGTCCAAGGAAATGGTTAATGACTGACTCAGCCAATCGCTCATCTTGGTCAGACTATTTTCCCTTAGCCAAGGTGTTCTGAGCTGTGTTATAGTTACTCTCATGTCTACCTTTTCCTCTCTCCCTCTCACTGTGACCAATCCACCCTCCTCCCTACAAGGGTCTTTCTCACGTTCAGTACTTCCATGCAGGCCCACTGTGAGCAACCATAGTTGCTATGAGATCATGACCACAGTGGCTGCGTCATGCCCAAATGAGAGCATCCTCAGCCCTTCTCCATGTCTTCCAGCTCATACATTCTTTCGACCACCTCTTCCACAAAGTTACCTGAGCCTTAGAGGGACTGATGCAAGGACCCTGTTTAGGGACGAGCAGCACCTTGAGCAGCCCCGAGTTTCTGCACTCATCACAGTCCTTTGCAAAGAGAAGCCATGTGTTTTTAGGATGGCACGGAGTCATGACTTCCCAGTATCAATATTGCTTAATGGATTCAGTGTAGAAATTGTCATAGCGTGAATCATTTTCAGTCAGGACCACGTTTTTCAGACTTTGCCAAAACAAGTTTTCCGCTTTGGGGTTGTCAGGCCACTGGAGGATGGAACTCTTACAGATTCTCCGCCGCAGCCTCAGGTACTGGGAATGCTGTAACACGGGTTCCAGGAGGATGAAGATAATCACATCCATGTTCTCATCCAGTAGCCTCTGCAAGGCCAAGTAAAAAGCTGTTTTAAAGTTCCAGCTCTTGGCATATTTTTTGGTTAAAACAAAGATTGTTTTCTTGCTCTGGTTTATGCTCTGCACGAGGTTCTCGATGATGGCTAATCCTGGATCCCAATCCCTTTCCTCTAAGCAAAGGAGGACATTTTTGCCTTCACTCTCTTCAAGGTGGTAGCGCAGATCATTGACGACCCAGTCAGTAACAGACACATCTTTGGTGTCATAAGAAATGTAAGCATCGTAGAAAGTTCGGGTTGTGGCCAAAGACCTGTAGCCTCTTAACTTAGCTGAACACATGTGATAGATAAACCAAATATCCCAGTAAAACAAATGGTGACCCAGGGTGGCCAGCATAAATGTGGAGGTGATCAGGAATGTGAGGGAAAACAGGATCACTGCAGTGGTATCTGAAAGACAAGTCATGAGCTCTAGACTCATGACGCTCTTCCCCTTTTGATCTCCAGGACTGGTGCAAATAACATCTACTAATCTAGGAATTTTGATGTTCGTGTTTTCATCTATCCAGCTTCGAAAATCACTTGTGTCGCACGTGCAGTCAAAATGGTTCCCGCTTAGTTCCAGAACAGCCAGACTTGTGTTAGTCTTGGTTTGCAGGGAAGATTTATTGATCATCTTTATCATGTTGAAACTTAGATCCAGGTGGACTAGACTATTGGCTTCAGAGAGGAAGCCAGGAGGCAGGTGCGAGAATTTATTATGGCCCAGCAGCAATATCTTCAGGGAATATGTAAACTTAGAGAGGCAATTGGTTAGAAAATACAGCTTGTTTCTCCGTAAGTCCAGTAAATGGAGCCGAGGAAAATACTGGAGGGATGTCCAATTAAAAAAATGTAACTTGTTCCCATTGACACGTAGCACTTTGAGGCTCCGGGGCAAGCTGAGGAATGCTTTAGTGGGGATTTGTTGAAGGTTATTGTACGATAAGTCTAGGTGTGTCAGATTCCTGAGACTTCTGAAAATGGTCTGGTAGCTGGTGTCATCTGTATTCCACAAAAGGTCAAGGCGGTTTCCGCTGAACACCAGTTTTTTCAGGGACATGCTTTTCAGCTCTTTGTCCTCTGTGAGTGTGTAAATGCCATTGTAGCCCAGGTTCAACACTTTGAGGTTCATTAAATTCTGGATAAATCCTAAGCGGTGTGTTACCCCTGCTATACTGAAATAGTGTGCATTGTGACTCAGGTCGAGCACTTCCAGTTTGCGAAGTTCGCTGAAAGCATTGTTGTTATCGAAGTCCAGTCGGTTGTGAGATAAATCCAAGTATCTGAGGTTGGGCATGGCTGAGAATTCTGTGCCACTCAACACTTGATTGTTAGCATTGAAGGACAGATTTAAGCAGGCAATGTCATGAAAAGGTTCAAATTGATTTTTCTCAATAAGGAAAATATTGTTTAAACTTAAATCCAAGGCTTTGCCATGCTTAGCGCACTGTGGCTTTATTAAAGGTCTGGTGCTGTGATAAAAATTCGCATGTGGATCAAACTTGGTGACCCTTGAGCCAGATTTAAGGAGATGATATGGCAAAGAGGAGTTGTTTGTGTGGTCTGCTATGGGTGTTATACGGTTTTCTGACAATGAGATAACTTTCAGGTTGGGAAAATCTTGGAAAATTTTAAAGTCAATTTTCGTAATGAAGTTAACGCCCAAGTCTATAGTGGTTAAGTTTCGAAGACTCTGAAGGGGTGCAAAATTCTTCTGTTCAAGTTTGTGAAATACATAGCCCTTTAAGTGCAACCTCTTGAGAGAATGAAGCTTAGAGAAGTTCGAGGAAATATTAATAGATGGCAAATATTTGCTTTGTTGAAAGTTGTAAGAGAGATCAAGGATTTGTAAGTTGGGTAGTTTTGTTAAAAATTCCCCTGAAGCAATTTCTTGTAGTAAATAGTTGAATTCAAGATGGAGTTCTGTCAGATTTGTCAGATTGTCAAACCAGGTGGAAGGAATGGACTGGAGGGAAGTGCTGGAGAGGTTTAGATATTGAAGTCGGGTGAGACCTTGAAAAGCAAGGCGATGAATGGTGAGGGACAAGTTTTTCTCACAAGGCGTGCATTGAAATGGGGCATTGTAACACCTCGGACAGTTTCCACTCAGATCTAGTAATGTTAAATGTTCCAGTCCCTTGAAGTCTTCCTGCGTGATAGTCATAATCTTGGCATTGCTCAGAAAAAGTTTTGTTAGGGAGCTTGGTAGTTTGGGAGGCACGTGGAAAAGCCTGTTGAAAGACAATGAGAGCACCTTCAGGTGTATAAGGTTTTGAAATGCCCCATCTTCCACGCTAAAGTTTTGATCACAATAAAAATAGCAGTTCCAGCTCAAATCGAGTCTCTCCAAGTTCCTAAGCCCCAAAGTGTTGTTTTTAGTTGTCGTATTTATATTGTTTTGAATTAGGCTAAGTTCTGTCAAAGACTCAGGCAAGCCAGTAGGCATAGCATCTAATTGGTTGTCTTCAAGTAGTAGCACCTTCAGATTTTTTAGGTTGAGGAATGCTCCATCTGTAATAGTCATACCACTTTTATTTTCATTTGGATGTGCTTGATTGGCATTGTGGTTCAGATTTATTTTAGTGAGGTTTCGCAGCTCTCGAAAGGACTCGTTTGTTACATGCATGATGGAATTGTCAGACAAGTTTATTTCTGTCACATTTTTGCCTATAGTTTGGGGAACTTCTTGAAGTCTGCGATCATTGCATTCTGCAATCACAACGCCATTTTTCTTTATCTCATCACAGGGATAGCTTCTGGAGTAATTTGCTCTGAAGAAGAACTCACTGGTTCCAGATGAGAGCAGGCAAAAGTAAGTCAGAATCCATGACTGAAGGGCCATGTTTCCCTATGGAAAAACCAAAGGTAGAAGCACAGTATTAAAGCGGCAACATCTGCTGGGTGTTTCTTGACAGAACTAAGAGTGTTCCATAAAACTTATATGATCCTCGAGATGTGAAATGCTACTAATAGCTTAATACATTGCATCAAAGGAGTTTCAGAATATTTATGTGTTTGTAGCTTCCAGGGGATTAAAAATTCAAGTTGAAACTCTCTGAGATATGATGTCAGGAAGTTTTTGAAGAGGCATTAATCAAGATGCCCCCCTCCACGTGAGTCTTAGATGAAGCATGGTTGTGGGTAACACAAAGTCTATAGCATGGTATGGCATGTATTTTTAGCAACAAACTATTTGTATAACCACTCTTTTGCGTGTGTAGTGTGCATGCATGTGTGTGGAAGCCAGACGTTTGTTGCTGGACTGTGTTCCCACCTGGACCCCGGCTAGCTTACCCCCGAAATAATTACACGGAGACTGTATTCATTTAAACACTGCCTGGCCCATTAGTTCTAACCTCTTATTGGCTAGCTCTTACATATTGATTCAACCCATTTCTAATAATTTGTATGTCACCACGAGGTAGTGGCTTACTAGAAAGATTCTAACCTATGTTTATCTCGGGCCGGAGCTTCATGGCATCTGCCTGACTGTTTCTTTCTTCCAGCATTCGGTTGTATCTACTCCACCCATCTAAGGTCTGGCCTATCAAAAGGCCAAGCTTCTTTATTTAACCAATGAAAGTAACACATAGACAGAAGGCCCACCTACTCCAGACATTGAAACATGTTTCTTCCTTAGTCACTGCCCATTTTATTTACTGAGGTAAGAACTCCCATGAAAACACAGGGCTTACCAAATTGACTAGTCTAGATTGCCAGCTTGCCCCAGAGATCCAGTGTGTTTGTCTCTCAAGACCTGGGATTACAGGTAGGCCACCACACTTGACCAGTTCATATGTGGCTTCTAGGGGCTCAAAACTTGGGTCCTCACATGACACAGCGAGGGTCTTATCCACTGAATTGTTTTCCCAGCCCTTCTTGGTGTAAGTCTTGATAAAATTTTGTCCAGTCCCTAAGAAGAACTCAAGACTGGCATTCATCTTAGTATCCTCTAAAACACTTAAGTCAAAGGTATCACCTGCTTTACATAGTTCTTGTAGTTATTTTCTCTGCTTCTTTTGGTCTTCTGTGGTGATGATGCTTATCATTTTCTCATAGTTCTTTACATTTCTAGAAACAACAATCACTGTAAATTATTTTCCTAACATTTTCCCTGTTAAATTTATCATTTCATTTTCTCACGTTAAAATATCTCACCCCATTAGAACTAGTTTGACATAAAGTGTGAGAGGTAAACTCTTATTCTTTTCTTTTTTGTTTTGTTTTTCAAAGTGAGGCTTTTTCTGTGTAGCCCTGACTGTCCTGGAACTCACTCTACAGGCCAGGTTGACCTTGAACTCAGAGACCCAACTGCCTCTGCTTCCTAAGTGCCAGGATTAAAGGTGTGCACCACCACTTGGCAAGGTATTCTTTTCTAAATGGAGACCCAGCTGTCTCAGAATCATTTACTGAATCACCCAATCAAGCCCTGCTTTGTTATGTTCAGGGTTCTACATACAACTTTCTTGTACATTTGGATCCATTTTTATACTCTCTGACCTGTTTCATCTGTCCATTTATATTCAATATACTCTTATCATATAGAATCTTCTTATGAACACAACTCAATAGAAAAAATGGACCAAAATATATTAACATTAAAAATTAAAATGTGAGTAGGTGTTTATGTGTGTAGACGTTTTGTCTGCATGTATGTCTGTCTACCATGTGTGCCCGGTACCCTTGGAGGCCAGAAGAGGGCACGGTCCCTTGGCCCTGGAGCTACTGATGGTTATAAGCCACCATATAGGTGTGGGGAATTGAACCTGGATGCTCTGGAAAAGCTCTCTCAACCACTTAGCTAGCTCTTCTACCCCTGGGAATACTTGTTAAGCACAGAAAAACATATTCAGCCTTACTCAATAAGTTACACCGATCCTAGTTTGAAACCAAATCTGCTGTGCCGCTGGACATGTGAAGCAGGGACTCTCATATTTTGCTGGTAGAAATAGAAGTTAATGCCACGTCTAAGATGTACAGCAGTTTTCTACGCCTTTTAAAAAACTAGAAATGTAGACTTGGAATCAGACATATCAACTCTAGAATTAGATCCTGGGGACATAGATACACATGTCAGTGTCTACAAAGAAAGATGTTCAAAGCAAAGCTTTTAGCAATAGTGAAAGTTTGGAAACAATCTAAATATCTGTAGCTAGAGGTCTGGTTGTAGTGCTGTCGCAGAGTCCTGTGTAGCAATGGAAAATATATAAGACAATTTCTATATTCATTCATTCATTCAACAAATATTTATTGGCTGTCTATTTCATTTCAGGAACTGTTTTCAAACTCAACACCGGAAAAGAATAAATGAAAATATCTGGCTATCTGATGTCTATACTGAGAGGTAGAAAGGTAGATAGAACATTAGGTAGGAAGACAATAGAGATGAGAAGGGAGATGGTTATGTAGAAGGTCCTTCAGTTGGAGTTACGTGACATTTTTGTTATAATTCAACTGGGGTTGTACATTTGGGAAGAAAGACATGCATACGTACTTCATGGAAGTACAGTGTGTCATTCTAGTGAGACCAAGACTACATACTATCAGCGTGACTTTTGCAGTTGATGCAGACCTTGATCATGTCCCTGAGAGAATGTTGGTAAGGTTTCTATTACGACCTTTAATTACAGAATGAAAAGCACATTAATTTGTAAAGGGGACTATGGGGAACACGTGTCATGATAAAATCGCATCTCAGACATTTTCCTTTGCAAACAAGTAGAGCTACCGAGAGAAGGACATCCTTGGTGAACCCAGAGAGCAGGCTCCATCTACTGTGCTCCCACTTCCTCAAGTTTAGATTTCCACACCTAGTTTCAAACACAAGTATGTATTTCATACACAACAGCGCAATTGAACACGAGAAGCTCTACAAACCATTTGTCAATAACAGAGGAGAAGAGTTGCTTGATGTTCCTTCAGGAGGAAAGCAGTCTCCCACACACTTTAAAGGAACTGACTATGAATCATGGGTCGTGGAAATGAATAGAACTGATGGACTAGCCTGAAGTTTCTGACACCGGTCTTCTAAAATGCCACTGAGACAAAACCATGAGTGAAGAAATTCCAAATAGCCAGTCTTTGAAAAGTACAGCAAAAGATGAGCCGTGGCCAGCGGGGAAGTTGAGGAGAAATGACTGATTGACCAAGGCTCAAGCTTTGACAGGTCCTCACAGAGTTTCTGCTCATTACTGTCTTAGCCACTGTCTATTGCTGTGAACAGAAACCATGGCTAAGGCACCTTATATAACCAAAGACATTTAGCTGGAAGCTTGCTTACAGCTTCAGAGGGTTGGTCCCTGATTACCACAGTGGGGAACATGGCGGCAGGTAGGCCGGCATGATCCTGGATCTGTATAGTAGCTGAGAGATCACATCGGATACAAAGTTGGAGGCAGAAATAAGGCGAGACTGGGCCTGGTGTGGGCTGTTGAAACCACAAAGTCCAATCCTAATGACACACCTCCTCTAAGAAGCCCACATCTCCTAATCCTTCAAAGACAGTCTATCAAACTCAAATTTATGAGGCTGTGGGAGCTATTCTCATCCAAACCGCCACAATTGCCAATGCTTATTTCCCAAGGCACTCAGCTGAAGTCCAGGGAACATCATCAAACACTCCCTGGCAGAGCATGACACATGCATTTGTGTTTTAGAGCAACAGAGAGTGCAGACACGGGCTGCATTTAATCAGTAAAGTATTACTATAACGGTAACAGAGAGAAGCCAAATCACAGATGAAGTAAGGCAGACTTCGTTTTCCTCTCTCCCCTTTCTTCTTTCTCCTCTCCTGTCCTCTTTCTCTCCTCCTTCCATCCTTCTCTTCTTCCTAGACTCTTTGGTCCATTTCATCTGTCTATTGGTACTTGATACATAATATGTAGAGTCCTCTTATGAACACAGCTCAGCAACATATGGACCAAAATATAGTTACTTTTTCCTCTTCCTCTTCTTTCTGTCTTCCTTCCCCAATTCTCCCTCCCCTCCCCTCCTTCCCTCCTTTCATTCTCTTCTCTCTCCTCTTCTTACTCCTCCTTTCTCTCTTCTCTCCATTCCTCCTCTTCCTTAATCCTTTCTTCTCTCCTCTTCTCCTCACCCCCACTCCCTTTCCCTATTGACATGTTGGAGATGGAGTGCAGGGCTCTACCACAAACTCATGTTTGCTAGATTATAATCAGTGAAACATATATGAAATGGTAACTATGAAAATAAAATAGAGAAGCAGCAATTTTTGAGTAAAACACCTGAATGCAATATTGAAAGTAAAACATATAGAGACAGACACATACAGAGATGGAGAAAGTTCATGGAGCAGTTTGCACCACAGAATCCTGGGAAGGTTTGGGAGCTAGGAAGCAGAGGCATCTCAGGGGAGGCAGGGCAGTGGATTGGTTGAGAGTCTGAATAAGAAGTTAAACTGGGAACTAGAAAGAGGGCCCAGTAGTTAAGACTGCTCGTCCAGAGGACCAGGATTAAATACCCAGCACCCACACGGCAGCTTATAGCTGTTTCTAACTCCAGTTCCAGGGGATCCAACACCCTCCTCTGGCTTCCATAGACACTGAAAGGAAGTGATGGACAGACGTACAGACATACAAGCAGGCAACACCCACCCCCTGACACACACACCTTTATGCATATTAGATTGTCCTTGTCCCAACTCTTACATTCTAGACTTCAAAGTCTGGAATGGTGAAATCCAGGAACCTTTGACACAAGACAAGGCCAGGATGAGCTACCAGAGAGAGAACATGAAAGGCAGAGGGTTAAAGAATGCTCTGTCAGTAGAGCACAGGACACCATACTCATCCCAGGCTTAGCTCTGGGAACCCTGACATCTGTCTCACTAGTGAACATCCTCATCAGCACCCCAGGCAGGAAGCTGCAGGGACACGCTTTGGGCTAGTAGGGCCTGGATCAGGGTGAGGCCAAGGAGACACATGCCATAGCTGCACAATGATAGGGGACTTGAAAACAAAACTTGACTAATGAAAAACTATCTCTCCTAAGAGCAAGGCCACATTTGCTCTCCTCCGTCTGGCTCCAGTCCCAACACAACTTTCTGCACAAAACAGGTATGGATTGAGAGCTGAGGCTTGCTAGGATTTTTATTTTCTTTTTGGTTCGACCTGACTTTTTTACTCTGTAGCTCAGACTGGCTTTGAACTCACGATCCTCCTTAGTTTCCTGAATGCCGAGATTACACTTGCATGCCATCACACCTGGCCTGATGTGTAGGTTCATTTTCTAAGATTTCTTTGGTTTTAAGTTACGCGTATTTGTGTGTTGTTGGGGGACAGTACATGCATGTGAGAGCGGGGGCCCCTGGAGGCCAGGGCAGAACATTGGCTCTTGTAGACCTAGAGTTACAGGTGGCTTTGAGCGACCCTACTTGGGTGCTGGGAACCGCACTCTAGATTCTCTACAAGAGCAATGCATGCTTTGAACTGCTGAGCAGTTTCTCCAGTCCCTGGTTTGTTCTTAATGATAGGACAAAGAGATTATGTGTCTTGAATATTGAGTTTACTGGTGCCCCTGTTCTTTCTTAGGGTTCTCTTCAGAGCCCCCACCAAGGATTGACGCCTGCCTAGCATGAGGGCTGGGACTGTGGCACGTGTGGGTTTCTACTGTTTGAGCGCTCACAGTCGCGACACTTGGTTACCCACGAAAGCAGTAGTGCTACAATCCCGCCATTCAATGGACCCCATCACCAGGATAATTGATCCAAAAAGTTCTCTGTACAGTCATGCCCTTTAGCCGACAGCCTAAAATCCCTGAGGAGGAGGAGGAGGACGCAACTGCAGGGCTCAAAGGATTTCATGGGTGTTGCCTTGGTCAACTGGAGAAAACCGAAACTCATTAATTCAAGAAAGCCCATGAATCATAAACACCAACCAAAAAAGTAACAACAGAAAGAAAACAGCTTAACTTCCCCTCTGGCTACCAAAAAGCAGCTGCCACTGTTCTGGAAGTGATTTCATAGCTTCTTTTTTTTTTTTTTTCCTATTTTCTGTGCACAGAACTGTACCCCGGTTGCTTCCATGGTACACAGCCTTCAGTTCTCTTGAAGGCATCAAGCAACCCTAGGAACCCTGCCTCTGTCACATCGAGCAGATCTTTCTTTCCATGCTGTGCCCTGATAGATATCTATGAGCCCTTTGGAAACACTGCTATAATAAAAAGAGCAGTTCAAAAAGTACCCCGTGCGGATCATGGGCAGGCTGGGAGCCGCCCTGTACCCACTGGTCCAGTGGTCTTTAGACGGGAAAACTCTAGGTGCACGGCAAGCCACAGCACCTCTAGGCAAGACCCAAGTGAAGACCACACAACCCACAATGCAGGCCTGGCAGCAGGGTGTAGAGTTAGTTCCACCCTTTTTGCATTCATTTTGCACAGAAAACTCCTTCTTTTACCCTCTTCGAGGGTTCCTTCATGACAAGTTGGACTCAGAGGCAAGGGTATCATGAGGTCTAGATCAACCCGAGTTAGCTAGTAAGATCTTGTCTCAAAATATAAAAAATGAAAACCAAACCACACTGATGAACAAAAACACAAGAAGGATTTGATAGGGTAGCTTAGCAGTTGAGTGCTCACCTAGCGTGCCACTGGCCTTGAATTCTCCCCCTGAGCAATACAAGAAAAACAAGTTTGATTTTCCTTTAACATGCCATAATTTGCCTCAGACCAGATGGATCCCTTTCTGGAAACGGTCCTGCTTAGGCCTGGTAGCTCCAAAGGGCCCCAAAATCCTATCCGTCCTTATAAACAACAAATTGATTCACTTAACTATTCTGGCGCCACATGGGTGGGATTCAAGTAGAGCTGAAAATTTGCTAGCCTGAAGTTCTGGCTTACTTTGCATGGTTTCAGATTAGTGTTTACTTGATAATGTTGATCGCTGATTAGTTATGTCATTAACTAATTAAGGAATAGATATTCACGGGCTTAAGAGATTGTTCAGGGGTTAAGAGCACCTACTGCTCTTGCAGGGAACCCTGATTAAGTACCCGTATTGTGACTGAGAACAGCCTGTAACTTTTAGTTCCAGAGGATGGACACTGTATTTGAGGGCACCAGTTATGCATGCAGTGAACTTGCATACATGCAGGCTAACACTTATATACATAAAATAAAAAAATATTTTAAAAGGAAAGAGATACTCAAATATGATTTATCATCTTAGTTGAAGTTAGTAGTAGATTCTTTATTTCGTCTGGTGGATTCATGCATTGCTTTGGAGAACAAGAGGAAACATGGTGCCAATCAAAAGCCCTTGGTGCTGAAGAGATGAATCCTGTGGCCAGCACACTTAAGGATATGCTCAAAGTATGCCTTTTGGATTGTGGAGGGCTTTGCCATAAGAGAAGTACAGTGCATGTATCTGTTTATTTTATTTTTTTTTTATTTTTGAGACAGGGTTTCTCTGTAGTTTTTGGTGCCTGTCCTGAAACTAGCTCTTGTAGACCAGGCTGGCCTCGAACTCACAGAGATCTGCCTGCCTCTGCCTTGTATCTGTTTATTTTATCCTCATAAAAAACAAGTCTGTTTCCCAGACTTGGAACCTAATGCTTTGGGAGGTTAATTTATCCACGGTTACTCCAATAGTAGGCAGCCAAACTGAAGCAGAGCATAGATATGCTCAGATGGTTTCATGAGTTAGGGCTGGAAGCTAAGGAGCGCATTGACAGTGACCTGGCTACAGTGATGAGCAAAATCATCTTAGCTAGGGGCTGGAGAGATGGCTCAGTAGTTAAGAGGCTTATTGCTTTTGCAGAAGTCCTGGGCTCTGTTCCCGGCACATATTTCTTTAGTCATTTTGGACACCTATTGGCACCAGGCACACACATGGCACAATACTCCCATGCAAGCAAAACACTCAAATAAATAAAAATTAACAAGTCTCAAAAGTAATAAACTATCATATGTTTCACAGCTCTCAGATACAAATACTGGGGGCAGATACTCTACTTTGCCTTTCTGGGCTGATTAGGCCACCACAGAGAACATGCCTGACATTCTGGATCTTCTGAATTTCAATAGGATGACACAAAAGCTACTGAGATTAGACATAGGTACCAATGAGCAGCTCTCTCTTCACTCGAAAAGGATGCATGACTTGCATTTGCTAAGGCCCACACAGAACCACAGGCTTTGTGTTAACAAAATCTCTTTCTTTATTTATCTGAACAATTGTATGTTTGAGTCCATAGTTTAAAAATAGTTAAATCTGAAAACAGTAAAAAAAAATAGAATAGTAAAAATTTGTCTGGGTATATAGCTTTGTTGATAAAAATGTTACTTTGAAAGCACAAGGAACTGAGTGTGATCTCCCAGAACTGCATTAAAAAGAGAGGGGGTGGGAGAAGAAAGAAGGAAGGAAGGAAAAGAAAAGATAAAAAAGGAAAGAAAGCCTAGATATAGTGGCTGGAAAGACAGTGATAGGATTATCAATGGGACTCATTGAACACCTGACATAGCCTATTGGGCAAGTTCCAGGCAAGCAAGGAACCCTGTTTCAAACATTAAAATGGACAGAGTCTAAGGATTACACACATACACATTTGTTTCTGAGCACACAGGAGTACACACACACACACACACACACACACACACACACGTAAAAATATCAAAATTTTCAACTGCTTTTAATACCCCAGTTGAACTTCGAAAGGCATTCCTTTCACAATGGTGATGTCCAGAATAGACCCGGTGGGTATCATAAAGATGTACCTGGAGAGCTTATCTAACTAACTATGGGTAATGACTCTCTCTGCTATGACATTCTCTCTGAGTCTGGGCTGTCCACAAGCCTGCCTTCTCTCCCATCAATTCTGCTGGTTTTAGGATTCTCACACGGAAAGATAAGAAGCAGTGATTGAAAGAAAAGGAACTCCAAGTTGGTCAACATAACTATATCATAAGAAAGTGGAATACAGAAAGAAGAGTGAGAGAAACAAAATAAGTTTGTGAAACTACCCACCTTATTCTCCCTGGTGACAGGTGGGAGTCAAGAACCTCTTGGTGTGAGTTAGAATCATGGAGAGACTCTTGGGGGTCAGCACGCTCAGGCTGAGCTCCAGATACAATACTAGTATCTTGGGTTATGGCTAGGCACTCAACTGCCATCACATTAATCCATGAGCTCTGCTTGTCAGAGAGGTAAGTAGATGTTAAGTCATAATGGCTAGTAAACAAGTTTCCGGGCCTTCTGGAATCTTTCCTCCCATTCCAAAGAAGATACTGTGTTCATTAACGAAGAGACCAAACCCTTCGCGTGTCATCGAGAAAGTGGTGTTTATCTGTGGCTGCACATTGGAGACACAAAGGAATTTCAAAAGCTACCAATGCCTAGTTAGAAATAAGCCCGCCTTTTCCCTTAAGATTCTCTCCATGATTCTAATTTATACCCCTGTCACCGATGGGAACGAAGTCGGTCATTTTGCAAGCTTACTTGGATTCTGTTACTTTCTTGTGTTACAGCTATGTTGACCATCATAGCAATTTACCAAATAAGAAGTGGACAACTTGAATTGCAATGTCACATGTGCTGTTGGTCTATTTGGACCCATCCCACATAGACCCCTGCAGTCATTTGTAAGCGTCGTAAGATTTTGGTGCAGAATAAACTGATATTCAAGATCCATAATAGACCTTAAGTGAGCCTAAAAATTAACTTCTAATAAGTTAACTAGACAGTATATTATTTTTAAAATGCACACCAAGGACTTATACAAGCAGTAAATGGCTGGGGAAAACATATGTGGTCAATTTTGGATGAAATTATTTTCCAGTCAGACTTCCCAATTGCTCTTCAAACCTCCCTGAAATTTCTATAAAATACAGCATTCGGAAAGACTTGTAGTTTTTTTGATTTTCAATCTGATACTTTTTGCCATTGATAAAAACAGATCACTTGCTGTATCTAGACAATGTGGAGCAACAGCAGAAGAGGTAGTGAGATGTGTGCTTTAAGGCTGCAAATAGGAAAAGCAACTGTTGCTACTGAAACTCAACCTTTTAGTAATTAAGTTCAGTCATCACTAGGCTGCAGAAACTGATCTGTCTGTAAAGCAATAGTTATCACGCTATGGGTCACGACCCTTTTTGGGTCACCTAAGACCGTGGGGAAACACAGATATTTACATTACAATTCTTCTTAATAGTAGCAAAATTACAGTTATGAAGCAGCAACAAAAATAATTTGTGGTTGGGGGGTCACCACAACATGAGGAACTGTATTAAATGGTCAAAGCACTTGGAAGCTTGAGACCATCGTTACAAAGGGAAGGAACTTACCACATTCTACAGTCAAAAGAAGATAAAAACGTTTGTCTCCTCCACCATCATCTCCAACCCTGTTGCTCCAGAGGAAAACATGCTCTTTAGCAGGGCCAGAAAATAACAGACCAGCTCAAATCCTATCTTGGAAGGGTCTTGCTTTCCTGTTTCAAATGATATGATTATCATTGCATTCGACTTTCAAAGTTTACTCTCTAATTAGTTTATACTAACATCCACACCAGCTCATCAGACCAGCATATAATTTGTGCTGCTAGATTCCTTTGACTTCTGCTATCGCTTTGCTCAGTTAGTATTTTCTTTGTTCATATCAGTAGCCATCAGCCCAGACTTCTGGATGAGAAAACATGTTTTGCTTGAGATCATTGAGCCAAGATCAGACCCATCTTACCTCTTTCCGGCTGAAGTATTCTCCCAAGAGCTTGCAGTCGCAGTGCAGTGTGGTTCCCTCTGTACAGTAGGTGTGCAGAGAGAAGACATTGGCTAACTTCTGAAACTTGTTCCCTTTAGCATCAGCAGAACCTAGCATGAGATTTGCAGAAGTTTATATGGGAAGACAGGAACTTGTGATTTCTTAACTGTTACCAAATCACTTATTGGCCGCACTTCAAAATTTCGAAACTTAATTCAGAGGAAAAGTCATTTATCAAATTATTTTTACATAACCCACACAGCATATTTTTATGAATTGATATCTACTTATGTCTATGGCTATCTTAGGGTTTTGTTGAGCAGGATTAGGGGAAACGGGTGATAAAACACAGAGAAAATACCATTTTAATGGAAGAAAAGAGGTAATATATTTTTAAAAGCAAACACCTTTACCATAAATGTGTATCGACTTTGGAATATCTGAAATGCATCTTTAGTTATTTAACTCACAAATGCTTCTGCTTTCCTCCACACATTTCTAAGGCTGCCACACTGTGTAGGTGGCCAGGGGAATGCCCACTGAGCAATGCCTGGGGTCCTTCTACTTCATGTAGCACCTGGCATGCACTATATGCTCAATAAAAGTTCATTCAAAAAATAAAGTAAGTGTTCATTGAGTGAATGAATCAGTGAGTAGACAATGAGCATTCTAGAGGCTGGGAATTTCTCCTTCTCTGATTTGACTGGATAAAATTAGACTTGTAGCTTCCAGAGCCAGGGCTTCCTCAGGTTTCCCCTAGAAAGGTGTCCACAAGTCCACAATCAAGAAGGGTGGAGCCAAATCGGACCCAGAAGTAAAAATGAAATTTTTACCCAGGAGTATTTGGCAATTTGACATGCTAAATATGACCACTAGCTTCAATTTCTAATTATAAAAATATTATCACCCTCAGAAAGTGATTCCATATTTTTTTTCTCATCACTTAACAGATAGGACAAAGCTGCCCTCAACTGTTAATCAGTTTTGAATTTTATGAATGAAATAACTGTGGGAGATTGTTTTCCTCTCACTATATGAGGACATACATGATATCAGAAATTTGCCTCTTGTCCTGAAAAGCTGTCTCTTTACAGAAAGAGCTTGCTGGCCTCTGGAGAAAAAAATGTAGGTCTGAGTGAGATGTTCTGTCCTATGGTATCCTCTCTCACCAAATTAAAGGAAAACACAGTGGAGTGACGTTCATTTATGTGGACCACAGAAAGCCTGCTTATGAAGGAAAACCTTGTAAACATTACAGAATGACTTGGGTGATCATTCCTAGATTGACTGACCTCTGAGGATCAGTCCCCGAGAAATTAAAGATCTGGCCATGGCTGGGGAGAGCTTTCCAGGACCCAGGACAACAGGGACCATAGGCAGCTCAGGCATTTGTGACATGACCAGATATTTTTTTAAAGAGTGTAAATGTTTATTTTAGCTCACAGCCTAAGAAATTATGCAGTCCATCACCGCAGGGAAGGCATGGACTTATGACCAGTAAGACCTCAGAAATCAAAGACTTCATTTGGATACCTCTTGCTTTCTTGATTTTGCCTGAACCATTGTTCAGAGGTTCTAGCAAAGTATGAAGCTGCACACTTGTAATCTGAGCACTTGGAAAGTAGAGGCAAGAGGATCAGCACACATTTGAAAACAGTTTGATCTCTGTAGTGGGTTCCAGGTCAGTGAAGCCTTCACACTAAGATCCTATTTCCAAAAACCAACACCCTAAACAATAGCAGCATCAACAGAAAAACAGAAGGGTGGCCGAGCAGGCTCTCTTGGACTAGATAGAAGATGTGCCTCTTGTGGTCTGTGTTCAAAGTTTCAAAATACCAATTAATTATAAAACAATTCATTGGAATCTTATAAAACATGATTATGATTGAGACTTCATCCTGATGAATTCCATTGCTGGTGGGAATGCAAACTTGTGCAACCACTTTGAAAAGCAGTGTGGCGGTTTCTCAGGAAATTTGGGATCAACCTACCCCAGGATCCAGCAATACCACTCTTGAGAATATACCCAAGAGATGCCATATCATACTACAAAAGCATTTGTTCAACTATGTTCATAGCTGCTTTATTTGTAATAGCCAGAACCTGGAAACAACCTAGATGCCCCTCAATGGAAGAACGGATAAAGAAAGTGTGGAATATATACACATTAGAGTACTACTCAGTGGTAAAAAACAATGACATCTTGAATTTTGCATGTAAATGGATGGAAATAGAAAACACTATCCTGAGTGAGGTAACCCAGACCCAAGAAGATGAATATGGTATGTACTCACTCATAAGTGGATTCTAGCCATAAAAAAAGGACATTGAGTCTATAATTCGTGATCCTAGAGAATCTAAATAAGAAGGTGAACTCAAAGAAAAACATATAGTTATCCTCCTGGATATTGGAAGTAGATAAGATTGCCAGGCAAAAATTTGGAGCTTGGGGAAGGGGGTGGGGTGGGAGTAAGGGGAGAGGTGGAGAGAGAAGTGACAAGAGGAGGATGGGAAGAGCTTGGGGCAATGGGACGATTGGGATGGAGGAAGGGTGGGAATGGGAGCAAGGAAGTATATATCATAATTAAGGGAGCTATTTTAGGGTTGGCAAGAGACTTGACTCTAGAGGGGTTCAGGTGTCCAAGGAGATGTCCTCAGGGCTGCTGTTCCTTGGGCTGCTGAGGAGAGGGCGCCTGAACCAGCCCTATCCTATAGCCACACTGATGAATATCTTGCATCTCACCATAGAACCTTCATCTGGCGATGGATGAAGACAGAGACAGAGACCCACATTGGAGCACTGGACTGAGCTCCCAAGGTCCAAATGAGGAGCAGAAGGAGGGAGAACATGAGCAAGGAAGTCAGGACGCGAGGGGTGCGCCCACCCACTGAGACGGCAGGACTGATCTAATGGGAGATCACCAAGGCCAGCTGGACTGGGACTGATGGAGCATGTGGTCAAACCAGACTCTCTGAACATGGCTGACAATGAGAGCTGACTGAGAATCCAAGGACAATGGCATTGGGTTTTGATTTTACTGCATGGACTGGCTTTGTGGGAGCCTAGTCTGTTTGGAAGCTCACCTTCCTAGACCTGGATGGAGGGGGGAGGACCTTGGACTTCCCACAGGGCAGGGAAACCTGACTGTTCTTTGGACTGAAGAGGGAGGGGAAGGGGGAAAGGGGAGAGTGGGAGGGAAATGGGAGGAGGTGGAAACTTTTAATAAAAAATAAAAAAATTGTTGAAAAAAATAAAACATGATTTTACACACACACACACACACACACACACACACACACACACACACACACACAGGCTTTATCTGCCAGGCAAATGAATAAAGTCTTCTGTTATTGCTCCCAGCCAAAGATGAAAATGAAAAGAGAATCGACATGAGGGCAGGTAGGACCCTGAAAAGAACTTCCGTCTAACACACAGAGTGGTCACCTGATCCTGCCCTCCCGTTGAACCCAAGAGTGAGCATTGGTAACTGCTGGGAATTCTCTGCATTCCCTGCCTGCCTTGACCTGGCCTGCAAGGTATAAAGCTATTGGGGACCTTGTAAACACATCTTTTCCTTTTCTCTACCAAGCCACTTAACCCTTGACTCATTCCCAGTCTCAGTGGTTGTTTTCCATCCTACACTCATCCCTCACTTCAACTCTTAGCTCACAGCGTTCATCTATACAACTTCTCAGGGCTCATTAGGAACTGATGGGCTCTCTGGAAAACCAAGTTAGCCAAAGGCACTCTTCTGTGTGAGGTGATAGAGTTCCAAATCAGAGAACAGAGCTAGGTAAGCGGAAGGATGGCTAAATGACAGGCATACTTGACTCCCCATATGAATGAGAAGTAGGGTAACCTTTGTAAGGACGTACAATAGTGCATTTGACTATGATGGAGGGACCTGTCTCCTTCCAATTAGTATAACTGCACAGACACAGAGAAGGCAAGATCCCCCACGATCCTCTACAAGTTTTTTTGAGTCCTAGAGCTAAAAACTAATTATCTGAAAAGGCTGGTCTTCCTCCCAGTTCCCATTATTTTCTTTATTTCCTTAAGTCAGACTCTTCCAAATACTGACCTGTGATCCCACAAGTAACCACAGCATTTAAGAGCTAAAAAAGGGTCCTCAGAACTTGTGAGTAAAGGAACTGAAACTAAAGGGCAAGGGTTTAATAGTGGGAAAGTAGGTATCCGAACTCTCACCTCTCACACTCTGCTCTAGTGTGTTTCAAAGTCTCTCTTCGTGAATGCCCCACATGAAAAGGTGGCTGGCAGCAAGTATTCTGTCACTGTTTTGAGGAAAGGCGGTTTATGAGTTTTCCATGTCTTTCAACCAGTGTCCTGTCCTTACTTCCTAGCTCTTTTATAAAAGTCTCAGCGTAATCACCCAGTTTCTCTGCTTTCATATACAAATATTTTAAGATTTTACATTTAGTATATTAGTGTGTGTGTGTGTGTGTGTGTGTGTGTGTGTGTGTGTGTGTGTGTGCGCGCGCGCTTATATATCGAAGTCAGAGGATAACTTTTAGGGGTTGTTTGTTTCCTTCTACAATGTGGATTCCAGGGTTCAAACTCCTGTCATTAGGCTTGGCAGCAAGTACCTTTACTCACGGAGACATCTTGATGGCCCTATATATAGATACTTTGATTTTTTTTTTACTTTTGTCTGTACAATATGTATGTGTGCATGCATGTTTGTGTGTGTCTGAATAAGACAGTATCCACACCACAGTTCATATATGACAGTTAGATGCCAACCTTGGCTGTTGGTCCTCATTTTCCACTTTGTCTGGTAGAGAGTTTCTTTGACTTTAGTCTAGCTAGCCCAGGAGCTTCTGGAGATTTTCCTATCTCCACCTTTTATCTCCTTGCAAAATGTCTGAGATTAAAGATACTTATGCCACCGTATCATGTTTTTACATAGGTTCTGGTGGTTTCAACTCAGGTTCTTGTGTTACCGTGGCAAGTGCTTTTTTTTGGGGGGGGGGCTAGATATTTTTCTGGTGATCATTTATGCTCTTCCAGGTCCACTAAAGAAAACTGAGGCATGCAGAAGTATTCCCAACCTAAATGCATTTGTCAA